GAAGGGTTGATGCAGGGGGGTGGAGTGGTCACACAAACACATGATCTGTCATATTTAAACACTGCATTGTTCAAGGCTAAAGCCTGTTTACGACCATCATTAATGTACAAACACAACCAACTAGACAGGATCTGTTCACTGTCTAACAGCAAAGTTAAATACTCCACCTGTGTACTTTACTGTAAATACACATTTCACATTTATATGAATCTGATGAATGGGGTTGGTTCTTTAGTATCTGTTGAAGCTATTTTTGTCACAATGAAACTAAATACTCCATTTTATTCCCAGCAGATCCTGTTCAACACAAAAGTTTTATAGCACACCGCTGAAGGCGACGTTTCAAGATGGCCGCTACAACAAACTTGTGGGTTTTACAGATTTTCCACATATAGAACTAAAATCGGATGCAGTAGTTGAGAATCATCCACAACACATATTCCGAGTGTCTTGCAATGATGCATGAGATGGAGTATGGGCCAGTAGTACATTTTGAAGATGGTGGATGTTGCCAGCGCTTCTGCGGCTCAGGTAGGAATTACTTTAATGTTTAGTGGAACAAAAACAAAATCATTGTCCAGATATATATTTTTGAAAATCACGTTCGGTAGCGCTGGCGACGTCCTCCATCTTCAAAATGTGCTTCTGGTACTCTTCCAGGACTTGCAGCTCAGAAAAGTGCCACCCCCCGTTAGCCACACCCATCTGTTCTCTGATTGGATTAAATTTGTGATTGGCAAGACATTGACCAATCAGCTGAGAGGAAGAAACATCGTGTCATACTCGCAAGTTGAAAATCACACACAAACTTAAGTGCCTCCTCTGCTTTTTGCCACCTGCAAGTGCTCTTGGCCACGCCCACTTTGCTCTGCACGGTGAACAGCTGATCAGCTGCAGCAGAAAGTTTATCCTGCAGTATGGGCTGCACAAAGGTGCTAAATAATTTAAAATAATTTATTTTAACTAAAAATTCCATGTGGATTACGCAGCACATCCATCACTCATCCAACTGTGTGTCATGTCCAAACTTATTTTGAAAAACCGCGATAGAGCGAGTCCGCGATAAACGAACTGCGAAGTAGCGAGGTATGACTGGAAATTATGCCCTTAATGGAGCACAGCTACAACTCTGTCATTAAACATAAAATGAACGACACACTCTTTTAAGAGAGCAGGAAACAAAGAAACAGTTTGCTTTGCCTAATTATAACCATAAAGGTGACTAAGTATATC